GATAAATTGGGGGTCCGGGGGTAGGGTGGTGGGGGCACTGATTGGTGGGCCTGATGGATAGAGTTATAACTCAGCCACTAGTGAGTCAGAGCTAAACAACAAAAGAAATCTGAAGCTCCTATGTTGAACAGTTTCTGAGTTATAAGCATTTTTGCATGTCCAGACACCCCCTCTTTGGATGGAGCCCCCTCCTCAAATATGGGGTCTTTCGTAAAACCGTTGGCTGGTGCAGTGTAGGTCAGACTCATCTACAGTCCTCCCAAATTTCATGTTGATCAGTGTAGCCGTTTTTGTGCTACGGTTGACCAAACATCACTGAAAAAAAAACATGAATAATAAACAGTACGAAAACAATATGATTCCTGCTTATGGTGCGGGGGTCATAATAATCTCCAGGTCGGCCAATGCGTTTTAGGATAGCTGTTAAGGAGACATTGAACCTGTCCCTCAAATTGGAGAAAACGGAGGATGCATTTGTGGGCCACAATTGGAGAAACCTTCAAATTTGGACAGCCTTCAGTGCATCACTAATCGGCATTCAAATTCGGCCCCTGATTTTTGACACAGCCTCTGTCTTGCTGACCTTTGCGGTTTGCAGTGTGTGATWGGACAGAATTCCATGGGTGTGTTTGTTTATGCTGAGCAGCACGTCCTGCTTGTCATTTTACTGAAAAAGGTCCTCCTTTAGAAGCCGGTCGGTAAGTTAGCAAGAAGGAATGTGCAACCGATGTTCACGTCTTCTTTCTTCTTAACAGAATTACAAAAAACAAGTTTTCTCCTCCTTATCTAACAACATAAGCCTCTCTTACAATGTTGGATACATCAAGTGAAAAACACAACTATCTATTCTGCAATCACTGTTATTGTTTATGTGCTTAGCTTAATGAATGCTTGGGAGTGCTGTGGGAGGGGATACTGATGATTTCTCACTCACGCCTTCTACGTGACTTTAAACACTCATGACATAATCACGTCTTGTTGAAGTATAAACCAGCCTTGATTCTTTCTGGTCACTTTACTAAATGAGAAAAACAAACGAATACTGCTCAACCAGAACCATTACTTTTGTGTGAGACCATTTGTGCGTCACAGCTGTGGTACAAGATTAGATTAGGAGAATATTTGTGGGTATAGAGAGGGCAGGTTTTGTCATACCAATCTAATAAGTTCTTGTTGGACCAGACAGTGTCAAGACAAACAGGAGTGTAGAATATAAATACAAATTTAACATCCTTGTTCTGTTCTATTACTCCAGAATGAAAATATGAGTTGAAAATCTGACTGCTTGATGATTTCTTTAATGTTGAGCAGATAAGTGCTAATTCTATCATCTATGCCTCCCCCACGAGGCTGAAAAATTAAATAAAATGATTTTCATGTTTGGATCTTTTTTCCCCACATTCCCCTTCTTATTTTATCCATCATCCATTTCTTGTTTAACTCTCCATCATTTCTTTATTTTTTTCCCTGTCCCTTCTCTTACCCACAGCACTGATGCACGCTTTGGTCTTTGGCAATGTGACAGCCATTATCCAGAGGATGTACTCCCGCTGGTCTCAGTACCACACCAGGACCAAAGACCTGAAGGACTTCATACGTGTCCATCACCTGCCGCAGAGTCTCAAGCAGCGGATGCTCGAGTACTTTCAGACAACCTGGTCGGTCAACAACGGCATAGACTGTAACGAGGTGAAAAAATATTTTTTAAAAAACAGGAACAATCTTTTTTTGTATTTGTTACACATCAACACATAGTCTGAATCCTATTTCCTAGTGTTACAGCTATGTTTAGATTTCAACCGTACCCATGTTTTTATTTTGAAATAATGAGCAGTATAGGGGTTAAACTATAAAAACAACCAGGTACACCCTTTCAGTATAACATGGTTTTGCTGGAGTTTCAGTTTTATGACAAAAACTCTATTATTCACCATATTATATCTGTCTGTGATTCTTTGAATGGCTATTCCAAGAAAATATTAAAAAGAATTTGTGACCTAACCTTGTAGCTTCATGAGTGTCAAATAAGATGTTATGAAAGAGCTGTTATCACTCTTAAATGTGGAGCTCGTTTGAATCAAGAATCAGTGCATCTAAGATGATGACCTTCAGTTTTCTGTTCAAATATATCAGAATCAGAATTCTCTTTATTGTCATTCAAACATAACATCAGGAATGCAATGTAGAACGAAATTGCACTTAAGAACACCTATTCAAGAAAATACACACACAACAAATATGGACGAACAGGTGAACATGTCATGCAGCAACCAGCTCAAACTACCCTTTTCAGCAGCTGGAAATACACAATAGGAAGGTTGAGCTTAAAAAAACCTTCCTCTGATCCTAAGTTTACATCAGAAACACAGGATGTAAACTTAGGATCAGTAAACCTGTGTTTACATCAGAAACACAGGATCATATCCATGCAAAAATCTGACTCACGATAGGGATAGACAGCCTGCTCCTGAACACATGAACAAAATACAAACCCTGAGGACACAAAGTTTATTCATTTTAGAATGAAAACCAAAAAGCTTTATTTATTTCCGGAAAATTTTCTCTTTTGGTTTC